TACCTTGAAGTGTAAACTTGTTTAATAAACCATATCTTTCATTTTCGATTTTTAATTCACGTAGTCCGGGAACTTTCCGGACAAACTGTGTATACACGCGGCGCTCGCCCGTGTTCAGCCGGGGCCCCAGCATCCCGGCGACGAGGGGCACAAGTGTACGTCGTCGTGTAATGCCTCATAGAAAGGCAGGAGAGAGCAAAGAGCCCTCGAGATGTTCGCGACACGCACACTAGCGCAACACGCGTTCGCTTGATGCATACGCACGTGCGCACATGCGAGGTGGAAACGAGCGAGTGAATAAGCAAGAGATCGAGAGGTCCGTACGAAGCGGAGAGACAGAGAGAGAAAGAGGGATCGGCAAACGTGTGTAAAGTGGCTACGCGATGCGGGAGGAGAAAGAAGCGAGAAGAGGGAGAAAAGAGAAAGAGAAAGAGAGAAAGAGAGAGAGGGAGGGAGAGAAGATCCCATGAGGATGTGATGCTCGGGGGGGTGCGCGGGGTGAATGTAAAGGGGTCCTCCGTACTCCCGGAGGTGGAATGACTGGGGAAGGGGTCAGCACGAACGAGGGGGCAGCAGCACAGAGGAAGGGGGGGCGATAGTTGGGGGGGAGGCCCGCAGGCCGGCCTGCGGCTCCGGATTCAGTATCCCCGGAGCGACCGAGTCGTGTACCCCGTGCAGGTTGCTGCGTTTCTGTGCTCCAGCGTGAACTCACGACACAGTGATACACACACACACACACACACGCACATAGAGATATATGTATACACACACACACGTGCGAGAAGCACAATTGTGTACATTTATACACATTTGTACACGCCGGCTACTAAACGGTTGCGTGTCCACTACACACATAAATACGCACACACACACATACCCAAAGGTGTGCTCCATCCACACGCGCGAATACGTTTCGCACGTACGCCGGACACGTGCACACACCTGTTCGCCGCGCGTTCCCGCCGCGGTACACGAGCGGAGAACGATTGGCTCCACTCGCGGACACTTCGAAACGCACGTTGCGCCGAGTGTCACTTGTCCCGCGACACCGGCTGTGCCCGAATATCTTTTTCCCACAAGAATCTCGAGAGAGAGAGAGAGAGAGAGAGATTCGCCTTTACGAGAAGGACCTGAGTATAACGTTTCGTTCGTGTGAGTGAAAAACGGTGCGCGGCGAGTTCTCACGGCGATAAGCAAGAGTTTAGTCTGGGTGCGCGCTCGGGGTTTTCGGTGAAGATTTATTTCTTCCACATTGCGGGTGCTTCCATGTGGGAATGGACGTGCGTCTCACGGAATTGTCTGACGGATTAAACTTGAAGTCGTCGTCGTCTTTCATGTTCTACAATCCGCCTGTGGATTAGAGAGAATCGAGAAAATCGGCGTGAAAATCGGCGTCAGTGAACCACACAAGCAATCACACGCTCGAAAACAAAAGCAAGAGATATCGTATCCGCGACATTTGCTTCGTAATTGCGAAATCGATTGTGTTTTACGAACAAAAAACTCATCGAATCGTTTGTACGTGAAAACACGTGCTGTGGACGGACTGCGGCGACTTGTGCGAGAAAAGCAGGTGGCGAGGCCGAGAGCGCGCGCGATCATCATCATCATCAACACTTTCGTCGGGCTTTCGCGCGTGATCGCTTTCTCTCGCCGATGAATTCGCAGCCGCCGACGGCGACTCGATCTTCTTCGATCCCGGTGAAACGAGGAACTCGCGAAACGTGCGCGCGAAGCGTAATCGCTCGCGATTAGTCTAGCAAAAGAATTCGAACGCTGCAAACTATAGCGTCGGCGAGTGTAAATCGCAAAGAGAACGAAGAACATACACACTGGAATAAAGAGGAGAAGCAAAACCGTGTCACGGCGATACGACAGCTTGCGGAGTGTGTTCGAGCGAAAGGTACCTGTCGCGTCGCAAGAGTCGGAGACGCCGCATATGCGAGCCTCCACCTGTGCCGCGTCGAGCGTCGCTTCTCCTCGAGAAACGCGGGCCCGCGCGCTCGAGGCTCTGCTCCGAAGATTCAAGGATTCTTTGTGAAAAACAAACGGTGGAGGAACGTGAATTCTTTTTGCTCCGAAGTGTCTTCACGAGTGTTCAGTGTAGAGAGCGGAGAGAGAAATAAAGAGAGAAAGAGAAAGAGGAAAAGAGATATTTTCGCGCAGTGGATATTTTCGGTGTTGGTGCTGCGGTGTGCAGTGTGCCGATAATAGCAATCGATAATATTCGGTGAGAGTGGTGAGAGAGATAGAAAGAGAGAAAAAGAGAGCACAAAGGATACGCATATATATATATAAGTGAAGAAACGGCGAAGAATCGCTCGCGAGGGGAGCGGCCGGGAAGCAGCCGGGGATTATCGGTGATATGCGGTAGTCGAGGGGATTCCCCAGGGAGAGACATGAGGGCGGTCGCCACCTACGTCCTGTTCCTCGCCCACTTTGTACAGGTACACACGCTTGTAATTCTAAACATTTTCCACGACTCGCATTGGTTCATTGCACTTAACTCGGAGAAATAGTTGTACAGTTTTTTTTTATATTTAATAGAAGTGTTTTTTTATATTTCTCATTAGATGCGAGTAGAATTTCGCGTAGTATTGACTGTATACACATTATCTTAAAAATATATGTTAACAAATATATTGTAATGAAATTTCAAACAAAGCATCTGATGATAAATATTGAATAAGTTTTGAACTCAGCAAACAACATTAATAGATGCGCGACCTTTGTGCGACTAACTACAAACTCATGTTTGGTCACTAACGTACAAAAACAAATATATATATATAGAAGAAGAGTAAATTTAAGATAAAATACGACTTTGTATTTGACTCATGTGTTAAAATAACTCTCGATTAGCTTGCACCAGCTGACTCGGTAACATAAAGTCGATAGCTACTGCAGCGTCTCTCTTTCACCAGCAGACATTTAGTCGGCATTTAAGAGCCGATAAAAAGCACAGCGTGCGAGAAGATCGCGGGTGCTATTTATACTCGCAATCAGTGCACCTTTTCATCCCAAGTATTTTTCGCGATTGTTGAGAGAAATGCGGGTCAAAAATTACATCGCGAAATTATCGTCGCGCACAAACGCGCGATCGATCGCTCAACTAACCGTGTTTTTGAACGAGTCGATTCGAGTCGTGAAAAATGTCCCGTTCCTTGTTCGCCGACAACACAAGTGAGATCAAGAGGAAAAAAGTCAACGCGGTGATATTCGAACAGGTGATGCAAGCGCGCGGTGCAACGTGCATACATACGTGCCCCGCGGCATGTGCCATTCGCGAAAATAAACAGTTGCGACGCAGGCGCGGCCATTACAATGCGTTTGTGCGCGATTATAAGCTTAAACTTCTCGTTATTACATCCATTGCAAGCGGGATACTTGTTTTTTTTTTTTTTTTTTTTTTTATCAAACTTGTATAGATTGATATATAAGTTGCAACTGCAGTTCTATTCGCAAGTTTATCCGACGATTTTTATAATCCCAAAAAGAGATAACGATTAATTTTACAACAAGACACAGATTACGAAAACGGTCGCTGTGTTATTTGACATTTTTTTTGACACAAGTGCGAAAAATTAAATTAGTTTTCGCGTTCCTCGTCCGGGGACGAGGGTCAACGCCACAATTGCTAACAATTGCGATATTTACACACCGAACTATATTTCACTTATATTGAATATAATAACGTAGCAGCACCTGTGAGCGAGTCTCGTTATTAGTATGATTTAAACAAGGTCTGCCGGTATATACGCGCGCCACGGTGCTGTTGCGTATCGGAAGTTAATTTGCAAGACAGTGCAACGAGATTTCCATACCGGGACCATTATAGATCACCGCGATCTCAGCGTATAGCGCTGCGCGCTCCTTTCGAGAGAGCTCGCAGTTTCCCCGCTTGTTGTTGCATCATCACAAGGTGCTATCGTGCGTGATGCAGCATCTGCAACGCGAGGCCGTTCTCACGTACGTGCTTTGATCTCAGGAGTCTATCTTTCTCTCTTCCGCGTTGCAAAGTGATCAATAATAATATAATAAAGTCGCGTACATATATATATATATATATATAGATAGAAATAATACAAAATTATTGATGTTATTCTATTTCTGCGCTCATGTTCAGCACGTCACATGCGCGAAATAATGGATACGCCATCAGATAACTTGTCTAATGTCACTGATGCTCGAAGGTTAACTGATTGAAAAGATTAATGCATGCGAGCAAAAATATCGACGTGTGAAAAACGATTATAAGTTTTTACGTTGAAGTAAAATTAGCGCAACGCACAATCTGCTGTTAAACGAAACGATTAGATAATGAGACAGAAAATCAGTAATGGTTAATTCAAATGCGGTTTATTCTGTTATCTGCGATCTGAAATGTCGACGCGAATCGAACAACATTTTCACCCCTTCGTTACTTTCTCGTGCTGAAAGCTACAGACGTAAACGATATTTCAATTTAATTTAATTTAATTCTGGTTTTTTAATTTTTATTTTTGAATCTTCAATCAAACGATATAAATAATTAATCAATTCTCACGAAGAAAAAGCAGCTTCTAGCTATTTTTCCAGAGAATAATCAGCAAGAGAAACTGTGACACATCTCGAGTATACTAAGAATCGATTGGAAATGCGATTGAGTTTCATCACAGCAGCGAAAACTTCGATTCCGTATCGACGATCGGAATTCGCTTCTAATTAATCAGCGTCTTGACGGCGGCACTTCATGTTTGTCCTCGTAATTGTTGCCGTTTTTATGTATATATATCGTGCCGTGGCATGTAACATGTCGCCGGACGCACCTACTGTCTCTCAGAACTCGTGGCTCTCCCGCGAGTTGCACAAGGATAGGAGGGCCGCGTTACATCCTTCTCCGTGTTCTCAGCCACACGGGAGAGATACATACTTACGGTTTAAGTACGGCTTTTTTGCGGATGTTGTCCCCGTCACTCGCGCTTTGTAATTTTCTTAGCCTGTATTATGCAGCACAGTCTCTGCTACTGTCTTTGTCCAGAAATGCACCTCGCGGCGCATTCGCTATTTACAGCAAATTTAAATTCCTCCTCGCCACTACAAATAATCTCTAGATTTTTTAACCAACATTTTACATTTCTGTGAGAATTAATTTCTTAATTTGTTAATCTTAAATTACACGCTTATGTTTTTGTTCGTGCGCGGTCTTGTTTTTTTTTTTTTTTTATCATTATTGCCGCTTGTACTTCGTTAAAAATACATTGTTAATATTAACGTCAGACTTTGACGCCGCGTATGCCCGCGGGCAACGCTTCTCTTTGCATGAATTAAAATATAATTAAAATATAATTGTTCGGTCTTCCATCGTGCTCCGGAAGCGCGTCGAGATGTGTGCGCGGAATTTTAGCAGCCTATTGTTGCAGACACGTATGTGAACTTGCGGGCCTTATCAATTCATTTAAAGGGCATTGAATTTTCGGAGTCGCTCGTGAACTTTGAGACAAGAAAAACGAGCGAAATAAAATTTCCGAAGAGAGATGTTTCTCAAAGTTTCGCATTTTTCTAGGAAAACAACGCAAGGTGTTGAAACAAAAAAAAAAAAAAAAAAAAAAAAAAAAACAGAAAAAATACACACAAACTTGTCTTACAGCCATCTCGCCATTTCGCCACGATATAACCTCGGGAAACAACAGCAATCACGCGAAAATGATTAAATTATAAATATCAAATGTAAATTGCCGGGTTAAAGTCCGATGCGTGTGTTCGCTTCGGCGAGGCGAGGAAGAAAGCAAGGCAAATCCACGCTTCCGTAACGATCGACAATTTCGGTCCAAGCCGACGAATAATGGGAGCTTAGGAGCCGGAGCGTTGCTGCCTCGCTCCGACCCGGAGTTACCGGGGGTCACCTCCTCTTCTGGCCCTCTCTCTTATAAACGACTTTCGAAGAACGGGCCGCGGGTAGAAAAGAGGGTTCCCGCGCCGTTCGTCGTTTTCTCTCGACGATTTCGACCTAGTGCAATTAAGTGCTGCCGCCGCCGCCGCCGCCGCCGCCGCCGCCGCAACCGCTGCTGTTGTTGCTGCAGCACCACGTTGTTGCTCTTTTTCAATTACTGCTCGAATGGAATTACGTTGTAAGGCGCGATGCCCGATGCCGAAAAAAACGTTTCGAAAGTGGTCCAACCATTCGGAGGATCGCAAATTTGTATCCCCCTTCTGCGTGTCGTCCTGTGCATTTTTCCGCGTGTGTTCCATTTTAATATAAAAAAAAAAAAAGAAAACAATGTAGTTTTACGCTCCGCGATTCGTGTGAGTATTTCAGCGAGAGATCGGCCGCATACGCAAAAAAAGACACACAACAGAAAAAAGAACTTTCCTGAGAAAGAGAATTTTGCCGTTCGCACGGTTGCGATTTGCAAAGCAATTACTTCTGTGCGATTTCTTGCGCGATTCTCGAGACTCAAGTTGGCATTTCCTCCACGGCGATCGATGAGTTTGTTTGATCGAAGTATCAAATCGGAAGTAGGTACTCGCGATTTTTTTTTTTTTTTACGCTCGTAATAAGAAACAATTATATAGTGTTTCTACACACATTAACGCAGAAGAAATCGAATTCGCAATTTAATAGCTGCATTTAATTAAAAAATAAAGACAAAACTAAATCCGATGCAGAAATCCGAGCCCAGATCCGATTACCAGATTTTATATCTTGCGTGACAATACAATTTGCATTTCTACGATTTGACCTTCGGATTTCTTCACGCAATCGTTGCGCGACCAAACGAGAGAGATATACTTTTATCTTCGATGCGAGTCGCGCGGCGTGCAATCGCGGCTAATCGACTTCGGGCCGTCTGATTAAAGACGATTTCACGGGAAGCTTGCGGCCTTGCGAGTCGGAAGGTGTTGATGCGGCCTGACTAACGAATATGCGGGAACCGTCGGAGACTGACGTGGCTTTCTCTCTCCTCTCTCTCTCCTCTCTCTCTCTCTCTCTCTCTCTCTCTCTCATTGCGATTTTCCGCGACGAAGATTTCGCGGGGCGGGGAGAACGAACCGGACGGTGCGTGTTTCGACGTGAGAGAAAGAGACGGAATTCAGTCTATTAAGCTTGAAATTGCACGAGGCCTCCGACAATTATCGTAAACCCCCGTTATGGACGCCCGGGATGCTGAGATCGATCTCCGCCAGTCGTCTGCATACATACGCAGGCAGATCCGCGGCGGGATGCGCCTGAGATTCGCCTCGGCGAATCCTTTATCGGCGATGATAATTCATCGCGCGTTCTCCCATCTCCGCCGCGGCTTAATTATCCGCTGAACGTGCCGCGGACTCTTCGCTCGGCTCTCGTCGTTTAATACGAGAAACGCAGTTTCTCTGCAGTTGCAGACCGATTTAGAGCGCGATCGCCGTTAAGTGCATCAGCGCGATCTTTCCTGTTCTCAAACGGCCGGCAGCGACATGCTATTTC